CCTCCTTGGGACTACAGCTCGCAGAATTCCAAGCAAAACCATGCATGGGTGCTCTGTCCAGGCCTATTTGGCTGTTCTGGAGCAGGCAGTGTCCCACATCTGCCAGGAGCATGCACAAAAGAGTGACTCCATAAGACCATGCAAGCCAATGGAGCCACCCGAGAACAGGAAGCTTGCAGCAGTGATATGGACCAGCTCTTTTCAGAAGAAGGGCAGGCTTTAAAAGATGAAGGATCAGCAGTCAAGGGAAGTGCTAAGGTAATCTGCAGTCATTTCTATTAAAATAGTAGGGTTTACACTTTAATAATAAGCTGCAATAAATGTGTCCGGTCAGTGGTATAACCTGAATTTAAAAAAGACTTTGCTTTGAAATATATTGCAAAATAACATTTATTGCTCACTGGCAAACCTTAAGTGGATCTATGACCTTTTTAATGTTTTGGATAGAGCGTAGAAGGGTTTGAACCCCTGTCAGATTTATATTGCTGTTTGTGTACCTCCTGGAGAGAATCACTCTCTCTGTCTGTCCTGGTAGTCAATGTAATTGGGAGTGAAAGTAAGGGGAAATGTAAAATATGGAGTCACTGAAACTAGAATACAGACATGCAGAATTAAAGACACCCAAACACACACACACACACACACACACACACACACGCACAGATAGACATAGGTTGAACTGGATGGACCTGTGTCTTTATTCAACCTTATGTTACTAGAATTGAAGGGATGCCTTCCAATGGGAACACTGGTGAGGGGATTTCCCTTCCTTTGGAGAGATCTCCTCTCACATCCTGCGGTGTAAGAAAATCTCCCCAGTGGGACAAAGCAAAAGAATATAAAACTTGACTAGGACTTCAACTATTCCATACGCTATCCAACCAAAAAAGAGGTTTGGCTTTAGATATACTTTAACTTCCATAGGGATGGCACTAAATCATATCACTGGCACATGCACAATCAGAATTCCAACTATATTCATAACAACCTTCCAGTAAAGATATAATCAGAGTTCAAGACGAATGCTTTTATCTCATTATTAATGTTTTCATACTAAATTTCGAAGGGGAGCTCTAGGGGAGCAGAAGCCATGCAACCCCACCAGTCTTAGACCACTGATTGGACGCTTAAAGGTCACTGACATTTTATGCCAAAAAAATAAACGATCTAATGAGATTTTGTGGGCAAAGAAATGGATGTATGATGATAACGCACAATATTTATCGAGTGTACTTTTTCAGAATGTATAGCCCGCTGGGAACAAGGGAAGTTTAAGCATAATTAAAGGCAGACGTCCTGCCTGTATATTGTACATTTACAGATTTATTCTGGGGGAAAGCCAGATTGGCTGTGTAAAACACCCTTTGTGTTCTAGAGGGGGGCTGTGGAACTCTGGACAATATGTTACCACCCTCAAGCTTTGTACAGTCAGACCAATAAACTCACAGAGCTCGATAGCATGTATCAAAGACATCCTGCTTATTTTTCCTACCCCATTTTTCCTGTTGTGCAATAGGAAAGACAGGAGGATTATCATGCTTGTTTAAAGTGTTCAGCTATTGTATAAAACTTTCCAGGACTTTAAAGACCTCAGGCCATCACAGAAATAAAATTATTGCTATGCAGTATTTCTTAGTAAATTAAAAGAGTTTTTGGGGCTGCAGATTGTTTACAATGACTATTGGACAATAATCTCAGTACACCTGCATTACGTTTAGTTTCCTGAGGTCGTTTTAAGGATCATTTTGATTGCGATTTAAAGTGACACTAAACTCAGGAGTTGCATTTAAGAATCTTAACAAGACTGGACCGTATTTGTGTATCACTCAGCTGTAGATCCTCAAATCATCTCTGAATTGGTGATGACATTGTCCTTCCTTCTGGAGGGGGGCTACTTTTGTTCCTCATGGGACCTGTGTGTGTTGTAAAGTAGTCACCGCTCCAACCTCACTCCTGTGATGGACTATAATCTCATGTTTGGTTTATTAATTTGCATTGAGATTGTAGTCTATCATAGGAGTGAGCTTGGAGCAGTGGATACTTTACAACACACATGAACCATGGGGAACAAAAGTACCCACCCTCCAGAACACTGCATATTCCATTTAGGTACCTTTGATGGGTAAATATCGCAGCATGAACTACTTCAAATTTTAAAATACATATTCACTGAGGCTGAGTTACTAAAAGGACTTGAGAATCTTCACATTGCCTCTAAAGTGACCCATAGCATGTGTGCCCAAATGCAACACAAAATAAATATGGATGCAATGCATCTGCTAGTGTGCAGGTACCCTTAAAGAAGAAAGGGAACAGTTTCTTACCCTCAAAAATCAATAAGCCGGTTCCTATCTAAAAACAGCTGGATTCTAAATGGACCGCCCACCCCGTTACAAATCAGCTTCTGTAATCCATGCAATTCTAAATGTTTATAAAGTAACTCAATATCATTTTAAAAGAAAATAGCTAATACATTTTAGAAACAGCAACATGAACAATAAAAATTGTTAATTAATTTAATAATTATATAAATATTTTACATTAAAAACATATATGTTAATTTAGAAGTCAAACATGAACAATATATATTGTAGTATTCATAAATGTGTGTAGGGACTTAAACATGTTTGACTTTGTATATATAATAATATTTTTGAGACCTAGTGAACTTTTGCAGGCTCGTTCAACCTGTGAACGGCTGTTCATAGTTCTTTTGACGTGTTTACTAAGAAGAAGTCTGATGTGTATAAAATAAAAAAATTGCTTCCTATATGGTATCGTAAATTCAGCATTTTAAATGTTTTCATAAACCCTTTTGAAATGGTTCAATATAATTTTAGATCAGCAGAAGTCATCACTTAGCAAGTGTCCTTTCAGGGGCAACTTTGAATCTGAATGATACTTTGTGTTACAAATACCCCACTATCCTGTAACCTCCAGCAAGAACTTTAGGTGAGGCCTTTCCCACAACAGAATGAATTTTATGTGAGTCTGGAGAGAGATGACTTGATATTGAAGATGAGAAGCAGCTGGAACTATTGTATAAAGTCTCTGATAGTTTGAAGGTTTCGCTTTTGTGAGCAAATAAATTGTGAAATGGTTGGAAGGTTGCAGATATTCTTCTTTCGTGTCTCTATTCAAGCTAAGCGGGAGACACAGACAGGATCTTACATACACAAGCCAACTTATTTTAACTCTTGCGGTGCGGTTTTCAGAGGATGTTTTGGTATAAACTGCTGCTTGGAGATGTAATGTAATTGCTTAGAGAATAAGTGTTATGCTTTGTTGGTTGGAGCATGGAAGGTTCTAAAGATAAATATGTTAATCAGTTCATCTAGCTGGATGGAAAACCTTTTCCTTAAAGTGACACTAAACTCTGAAGTTGGATGTTAAAATTGCATTCAAGTACCCTAACTAGTAACAAAAATGTATCTTATTTGTGTATCACTCGGCTGTAGATCCTCAAATCATCTCTGAATTGGTGCTGACACTGTCCTTCCTTCTGGAGGGTGGCTACTTTTATACCCCATTGTCCCTGTGTGTGTTGTAAAATAGTCACCGCTCCAAGCTCGCTCCTGTGACGGATGGACTACAATCTTAATACAAATTAGTAAACTAAACATGAGATTGTAGTCTATCACGAGAGCGAGCTTGGAGTGGTGGCTACCGTGCAACACACAGGCACCATGAGGAACAAAAGTAGCCACCCTCCAGAAGAAAGGACAGTGTCAGCACCAATTCAGAGATGATTTGAGGATCTACAGTTGAGTTGAGTGAAGCACAAATAAGTTGCATTTTTGTTGATAATTAAGGTACTTGAAGATTTAACTCCTGAGTTTAGTGTGACTTTAAAATGCATTCACCTTAACTACTAGCAAAACTGTATCCGATTTGCATATCACTCGGCTGTAGATCTTCAAATCATCTCTGAATTGGTGCTTACACTGTCCTTCCTTCTGGAGGGTGGCTACTTTTGTTCCCCATGGTCCCTGTGTGTGTTGTAAAGTAGCCACCACTCCAAAAACGTACTCCAAATGATGGACTACAATCTCACTACAAATTTGTAAACGAACTGTGAGATTGTAGTCTATCACGGGAGTGAGCTTGTAGCGGTGACTACTTTACAACACACACAGGGGCCATGGAGAACAAATGTAGCCACCCTCCAGAAGGAAGGACAGTGTCAACGCCAATTCAGAGATGATTTGAGGATCTACAGCAAATGATGCACAAAGAAAATACATTTTTTTTACTAACAGTTAGGGTACTTGAATGCATTTTAAAGATTTAACTCCTGAGTTTAGTGTCACTTTAATATACCGAATGTTTTCTTATAATTCATAGGAGCTCTTTAATAATGCAATCATATTTATAGCTGTGTATGACAGGTACTGCCTGTGTATGACTACCGAGTGCATGACCAATTCTCTCACAAATGTATGCCTGAGCACTCCAGAAGCACTTTCAAAAGATAACAAAGATAATGGCTTTCAGGCTGGATGACAAATGTATTCTCACAGCCATACTAATGTAATTTTAAATATTCTGAAATGTTTATATTAGCATTAAATTGCTGTGCAAATTTGTTAATATCTCAGATTATGCTCAAATGTAAACAGAAAAAAAAAACATTTGATATCATGCTGTTGGGGTAAGTAACCTGATCTGCCTGATTCCGAGTAGCTAGCCCACACATCTCCAAATACAACATCTCAAGAAACTCCTGGTGGGCGTGCATGGCAGTCCTGCCTTCTAGAAGTAGAAATAAGAGTTAGGCGGAAACCTTCTATACCTTAATGTACAAAATGAACTGTCTGCCCTCTTGAAACTGGAGAGTGAACATTTGGAATATTGTTCAGAATCGTGACAGTAAAATAATATCTACTGGTGCATATTAGCTGCCCTGCACCCAGTTAAAATTTACCATGAATTTCTGCTGGTGAATTTGTAATAACAAAAAAATGCAAACCCCCAAAGAACTTATTCCCCCAACACCTTACCTTCATTTTTGAAGCTTCGCACAATGTTGGCTGAAGGCATAGTGGTTCTGTCCATTGCAAACTTGTTGTAGAGCTCCAGCATGTACTCCGGCGGCTCCACCTTGACAGGTGCCTGCACTGGAATCCCGGAGAGGTTGAGGGTCTTCAGGAAGTCATCTTTCATAATTTCCAGCAGAGAGTTGAGATCAACCCCATCCTGCTCAGAAAGAACTTCATCATATAAAGGCAAGTCATCTTCCAAGCCCATGATAGGACTAGCTGTCACACAATGCACCAGTAAGCTCAGGGCCACAAATGCCCGCACAGAGATGGGATCCATGCTCAGAGATTGCTGCTGCTCAAGATTAATCTCAGCTGCCAGTGGTGTCCGGTGTGTCTGTTTTACTCTCTCGAGAGGACACTGCTTTTGTCATCTGGAGTTGACAAGTATGGAAACACTCGTCTGTAACTTGTGACCATTCTCTCTCACACATACACTCTCCTTGCACTTTCTCTCTCTCTCCCTCCCTCTCTTCTTCCCTTTTCAAAAAAGCCAGGTTTCAATAATTTGATAACATGTCCCTACAGCATCCCTGCTTCTCTTATCTCCCACACTAGAAGCGTCTCACCAGATTTTGCTGCTATCTCAGAATCCCACTTTTCCTAATGAGCATTTTGTAAACATTTCCATATTCTGACACTGCCTGTGAGATAGGCCAATTTTTCTCTCTCTGCTAAAGAGAAAAAAAAAAAAAGTTTGCCCTTGTTCTGTAGCTAAACTTCCCTGTTGAAGTCTGCCAAAGTTTCCCTCTGAGAAGTTTATGTGATTTTTAGCTAGCATGCAGGAAGCATGTATAGGCTCTGAGTGAATGCATGCATTTCTTCCAGGACAACATTTACATTGCTGCTAGAAGCCAGTTGTGAAAGAGAATACATTAAAGCTTTTTTTTTTTTAAAGCATATCATCCTTTCAAGAAGGATGGGAAACATTTTTTGTCTTAACTGTAATATTATGGAGGTCACAACCTTATTGAGGAATACATGGGCCTGCAAGTAATTTTCAGCAAATGAGACCTTTTATATGATGGATTTTCAGCAAATGAGATTCTTGTTATATGACTGAATATATTTGCTGGTGAAAAAGACAACTCCCTTAGTGGTCCACAGACTTTCCCACATGTCAGGCTCTACTCTTTCAACAAGGTGTTTGAAACATTTCTGTTTTAAA